TTTTTTTTTTTTTTTTTTTTTTTTTTTTTTTTTTTTTTTTTTTATTATTCAACAATTTATTATTTTTTAGATACTATATAATAAAATTGTGAAGATGTATTTAAAAATTATTTTTTCAAATGTTTTTTTTCTTTTTCATTTCTTGAATTTATAAAATGAAAATATTACTTTTCCTTTTATTTATTTCATTGTGTTATATTTCCTTTTCCTTTTCCTTTTTAATAAAAGCAAATATAAAATTATTAAAATTAACTTCTATTAATTATGTAACTCTTGATAAAAAAGGAAAAAACTTAATTAATGTAATATATCTAATTTTTTTTTAACTATACTTATATATTTTGAATACATATTTATTTATTTTTTATATTCATTTTTTTTTATTATTACATTTTATATGTATACTTGATATATATTTTTTTTTTTTTTGTCCTAATTTATTTACATATTTAATATAGAACTTTTGATACATTAAAATATTTTTATTAATTAATATATTTATTTTTATAATTAAAAAAAAAAATTTCGTCTTTTTTTTCTTATTTTTTTAAATAGAATCATGTGCATAGAAAAAATATACGATCTTTAAAGAGCTTTTTATATCCACATTTTTTAAAAAGAATAATAGAACCATTAGAAAATGCTAATTTTAAAAATTATTTTTTTTTTCGATCATTATCACGTATATGCGTTTCTTTAAGTAGTGCATTTTCTTTAAATGCAAAATTAAATTTATATAGAAAGAATACAAATAATTTATTATTAACGCAACTATTAATGAATAATGAAATTTTAATAAAAATTTTAAAAATATGTTGGTTATATAAATTAAGTCATTTTATAGATAAAAACATAAAATTATGCAGATATATGTCTACTATATTTTATATTATAAGTATATATTTAGATATATTATCTACATATAACATTTCAAAGAATTTTTACTTTTACTATTTTTTATATTCCTTATCATCTATATTAAAAAATTTGAGCATACTAACATACACATCCATTAGATCAAGTATTAATTTTCATGTATCTCAAATGCTATCTAACTCAAACCAAAAATTTAACGAAAAAAGCATAAGAGATATAAAATTAGTAAATAAAGATACATACGATAAAAATATAAGTAACGAAAATATAAATGATGAAAATAAAGATAAAAATAAAAATGATGAAAATGTAGATAAAAATAAAAATGATGAAAATGTAGATAAAAATAAAAATGATGAAAATGAAGATAAAAATATAAATGATGAAAATAAAGATAAAAATATAAATGAAGAAAATGTAGATAAAAATATAAATGATGAAAATGAAGATAAAAATATAAATGATGAAAATAAAGATAAAAATATAAATGAAGAAAATGTAGATAAAAATATAAATGATGAAAATAAAGATAAAAATATAAATGATGAAAATGAAGATAAAAATATAGATGAAAAATTAATGGAAGTTAATACATTAAAAAAAGAATATAATATATTAAAAAAGGTTTATGAAAAAAAAAAAGAGAATAACAATAGTAACATTTTAAGAAATAATTTAAAAGTAAAAAGAAAATTTTATATAGGAGAAATTAGTGTTATAACTGATTTGCTTTTTTCCTTAGTAGATTTATCAACAATTCTTTTACTTTCTCATGCAGCAAAATTTATAAAACAAAAAATATTTTTTTATATTTTTTTATCTTCTCTACATTTATTTTTTTCTTACAAAGAACTAGAATATTTGTTAATTTAGATAAATAAGTTTGTTGAAAAAAATGTGTATGTCACAAATTAATAAAAAATTTGAATGAATTTATACACTTTCTTTTTTTTTCTATAACTTTATGTTTTACTTATTTTTATAGAAAAACTTTATATTTTAATTTATTTTTGTTTTATCCTTTTGTTTTGTTTCAATACTTTATTTTAATAATGAAAAAAAAATTACAATAGTTTTTAAATTAATTTGGTGTTGCATATAAATCCTATTTTAAAACTGTAAACTTTCAAAAAAAACTTCAAAATTTTTTTTAAATTCACAATAATTTATTAAAAAATCCTTATATAAAATATATATGTCTAAAGTGCTTTAAAAATATCAAAATAATAATATATACTATATTAAGTATTATTGTCTGTAATCTGGTTATATATTTTTAAAAAATTGTAATATAATGTTTATAAAAGTATATTTTTATATGTAACATTAATTTTACTATAATGTTAAATTTTATTGTTCATTATTTCATTTTTTTTTTTATTGGCCATTAAATTTATACAAAATGAAAAGATATATTAAAGAAGTATTTTACAAAAAAAAAAAAAAAAAAAAAATTAAAAAATTAAAATAAAAATTATACAATGAAAAAAAAAAGAAAAAGAAATATGTTTAATATTTTTAAAAAGTTGTATTTTTTCAATCCATTATTACAAACTACTTGAAATAAGGATAATTTTAAAATTACATTACGTACTAATTAAAAAACTTATATTTTTAATCATCTTCCGGATATGTATATGGGCAATCAATATATAATTTCTAAAAAAAAAAAAAAGAAAATATTAAAAAAGTAATTAAATCAAAAAAATAAGAATTCATTTAAACAATATATTCTTAATTATATAAAAATATATTTATATTCATACTCCTTTATTTATTTGTTTCCATTTGTTATTAAACCAAACACCCCAAAAATATGATGTAACACATCCACCAGTAACAACAAACAGCCAATAGCGAGTATTATATTTTAATATGTGATCATATATTCTTATGAAAAAAAAAAAAAAAAAAAACAAAAAAATATGTATAAAATTATTATTATTATCATATGAATACTTAACAAATTTTTTAATATATATATATATATATATATTTATACTTGGTTTTATTTAAAGCTTGAAAAAAAGGATTAAACATATCTTTATCTTTTCTACTCTTTTTTAGTGATTTCCAAATAAACGATGGGTAAGTGTCACTAAATGGACTTCCAAAAACCACTGAAAAATAAAAATTTTGAATATTTATTAAAATTTTATTTACTTTTTAATTATTTTAGCAATAATTACTTTTTAAAAGTTGAAATTAAACGCATATAATATTATGATTTTACTTTATACTTTAAAAAAATTATTTTTACATAGAAAAAAAAAAAAAAAAATGAAGTTATAAAATGCTTGCTTCTTTTTAAGAATAAAATAAAATGTAAATAAAATAATATAAATTTATCTTTGTGTAATTATTTTTTGTATTAAATTTTTTTTATATTTTTTTTAATATTTTTTTTTTTTGAATTTTTAAATATAAAAAAAATTTTAAAATGAATGCATTTCAAATAATGTTGTGCACGGAATTATTTTCTGGAATATTTATATAGAGAGACTATAATTTTTTTCTTTAACTAATATTTCGTATTTTTGAAAAAATAATTCTATTTAAAGAATTTTTATTTATTAAATTGTTTATATATATATATATATCTTATTTATTTGTTCTTTTAAAGCTATTTTTATTTATTTTATTTTTTTGTCACTCTATTGTATATCATTTTATAAATTTTATAGTTGGTACTAACTTATTTTTTTTTTATCTCTACTTCTATTATTTTTCATTATTTACATTATTAATTTGAAGTAATTTATCTTTTTAAAGTATTATGAATTATTATTCTAAACATTTGTCACTATAATTTATATATATATATATATGTATATATTATATATTATATTTTAAAAAATAAATAAAATAATGAACTTAATATTAATTAGTTCAAAATGTATTTATGAAATCAATAATGAATTTTTTTTCAGAACAGATGATAGGCAAACAAATCATTTAAAAAGTATCTTAAAAGTACAATTAAATCAACATGTTAAGGTTGGAGTAATTAATAAAGGTAAGGGAGAAGGAATCATAATAGAAGAAAATAAAAATTATTATGTTATAAAGTTGTTGTCACCTATTCATTTAGAAAAACCAGAATCTAGATTCATTCCAATAGACGTCGTTATATGCATACCGAGACCAAAAATATTAAATAAAATGTTACAACAATTATCTTCTGTTGGAGTTAAAAAAATAATTATTGTATTTTCAGAATATTCAAATAAATCATATGAGTCAAGTAAAATTTTTAGAAATGAAGAAATAAAATATGCACTTCAATTAGGATTAGAGCAAGCTATGTGCACACAATTTCCCGAAACTTATATACATTACTCTTTTAACTCTTTTTTTATGAATATTCAAAAATATGCTGATGATAATACAATAAAATTGTGTGCACATACAGATATCAAAACAAATACTACTTCAAATGAATTTTCTATTTTAAATAAAGAGGAAGGAAAAATTCTTTTAATGCTTGGATGTGAAAGAGGTTTCTCAGATCTTGAAATTTATTTGATTAAAAAATTAGGATTTAATTTTCTATATTTAACCGAAAGAATTTTAAAGTGTGAAACAGCCATTTTAATAATTATTGGGCAGCTACTTTTGTTAACAGAAAATACGTATTTAAGGCCTAATGGTAAAAAAATGAGAAGATACTCAAAAGATAGAAATGGTTATATAGAAAAGAATATAATGAAAAGTAAAAATAAAGAAGAAATTATAGAAAATAATTACAACTTTCAAGATAAAACAGAAATTATTCATGAAATAAAAGACATTTTAGTGAATGAAACTTTTTCTTCTGAACAATTGAAAACTTACATAAGTAATTTTATAAAAGAACATGAAAGTATGAAAGATTTCGAAAATATTTTTAGTAGTAATGAAGATAATGTACTAAAGCAAAAAACAAATATTATAGATGAAATTTTAAAAAATATATCCTCTTTTAATAAAAATGATGAAAATAATTTTGAAAATATATATTTAAGTTTGCTACTAAAGAAAATTAAATATAAAAATCGTTTTTGCTTATCATATAATGATGTGAAAAATAATGTTGATGATGATGGTGTATTTATATATAGAACACAAAGATATATTACAAAAAAAAAAAAAAATTTGTTAAATGATTTGCATTCAACATAGAATTAAAATTAAAAATTTTTATATTATTTTTATTCCATAATATTGTCATTATAGTAATTAATATTTTTTTTAATTTTTTTTAATATCTTGTTTATGTTATAAATTTACACATACATTTATATCCTCCATAAGTTTATATGTTTTTTGTATTAATTTTTCATAAAATATTGATTTAAATATTCAATATGTATTATACTATAATCTTTAAGTGGATTTCTTTTTTATTTCTCATAATTTTATTATGTTTTCACTGAAATTAAACTATACAAGTTACATATATATTTTTAACTATAATACTCATTTAAGAAAAAAAAAAAAAAAAACTTCAAAATGTATTAATTTTTTCGTTTTATTAATTTTGCAATCTTCAAAAATAAAGTATTCTATCCACATATACGTATGTTAATTACTTTATTCTAAAGGATACTTTTCTTTTAATTCTTCAATTTTATCTTCAAATGTTATTTCATATGGAAACCTTGGAAATTTATTACCATATATTTTCCTCATTAATAGCCATTTTGTAAAACATTCAATTTCATAAACAGTCATTCTATGTACATTTATATTTTTGCTTTTTAAAAAGTTATACATTTCTCTCCTAGGTTCATAATCTGGATTTATTCCTTTAATGTAATACTCCCAACTTTTACTTTCATCTGTTTTTAAATCGTTAATAAAATTTTCTAAATCTAAGTTTTCGTTTTTCTCAAATGTAGAAAAATTAAGGACTTTAAAAAATTCTTTACTCTTTCTGTTACACCTATTATGAAATAATTTCCTCATATTTATTCCTATTTTTTTTTTTTAATTGTTTTAATCATATTTTATTGATTTATTTATTTATTCTTTTTTATTATTAATGTTTTTATTGTGCTTTTCTTTTATACTTTAATTTTTTTTTTTTTTTTTTTTTTTTTTTTTATATTATATTTCCTCTAAATATAATTTTTTTATTTCTTGAGAATAAATATTTATCTTCTCATTTTTTATTTATTTATTTTAAAGAAAAAAAAATAATAACAAAAAAAAATATTTATATGTTTTTAAAAGTAACTGGATCATTACCAAATTTTCTTTTGAATTTTTTTTTTAACAAAAAAAAAAAAAAAAAAAAAAAAAATTGAAATAAATACATTTATTTAAAATAATTAATGTAGAAAACAAATAGAAAAAAAATAAATAATTATATTTTCATGGTATTCTTTTTGTTTTAAATTTAAAATTAAAATAAAATGACAAAATAATAGAGAAAAAAAGAAGTAACAGGAATATTAATGGACTGAAAAAACTATCAAATCTTAGACGCCCTTTCAAAGGTTCTCTTGTTTTTCTCCTAAAGAAAAAAAAAAACAATAAGAAGTTGTGTATAAATAAATTTATATTTAAAAATATAATATGATAATATTTTATATAAAAAAATACATTTATGAAATATTTTTTGATGAAATATTAATCATATAAAAATAATATTAAACATTTTCATTTTAATGGTATTATAATAAATCATAGTAATTTAAAATATAAATAACAATATGAATTATTCAGGAAATTTATAAATGAATAAATTTCAAATAAATTATATATTATAGTTCAACACTCATATATAAGTAAATACATATAACTATTTATTTATAATAATTAATGTTTCAATATAGCTTACTTTTGGATAGTATCAATTCTTTTTAAATAAGCTACATAAGATGATATTAAAGAAATGAATGAAGCTAAAAATAGTAAAATAATAATGAAGTCTAAATTTCTATTTTTATTTTTATATTTTTCTAAAAAAAGAGCTAATAAGTTAATGTAAACAGACATAAGAGAATAATGAAGAAATGTTCTTTCCGCAGCAAAGTTGATTTTTGGGTCAATTTTTAATAAATTGATATTTTTACTTTTATTGTCTTTTTGACTATATTTATTATTTAGCCAAAAAAAAGTTTTATCAAGTAAGTTCCACTTCTGTAAAGTATTATACCTTGATAAATTAAATTGATTCATGTAATCATTCGATGTTATATTATTTTTATATTTTTGATTATTGGATAATTCATTTATATTTACTGAATGTAGATCTTTTCTCCCCTCTTGATAATTACACGAATTTTTTAACATAGAACTACTAAGATTATTTGATGACTTAAAATGTTCATGAATGTTTTTATATATCCAAATAGGTATATATTTAATTTTTTCAGAATGTAATAAAGCCATTGCAGTTTGATATTTCGAATACTTATATGCATTAATTGATTTATTAGAATTTAATATATTATTTATCCATTCAGGCATATTTTCAACTTTTAATTTTACTTCTATAATACCATAATTTAATCTAATAATTTCATTTTTTCCAAGAGCCTCTTCAGCTAATCTGCACCAATGTTCTCTTTTTTCAACATACTCATTTAACATAGATATATTTGTATCTATAGATATTCTTACTGCATTATCATTAGTTAATTGAAAAGCTGATCTTAAATAAGATGTTCTTATTATTGGCTCTAATTTATTTTTTAAAATCTTTCTTTGTATTTCACTACCTAGTTGAATACTTTTATTTATTCTTTCTTCAAGAGAAAAATTATTTTCGTTATTATTATTGTTATTTTTTAATAATTCTTTTTTCTTTTTACTTAATTTTTTAAGAAAGAAATCTCTTATATTTAATTCTCCATTCATAAATTTTAATACATATTTTTGATCTAATTCAAATCGTTCTTTTGTTGAAGTTTCTCCTGTCCATTCTTCATGGTGAATTTTTCTTTCAATAAAAATAGTTTTATTAGGATCTCCTTCATTATCGTTATACCAACGAAATCTTATCAACTGAGCATTTTCATATCTAAGAATTCTTTTAGTATAACAACTAGCCTGTTTATTATCAAAATAAACAGACGTTATTTGTTGTGATTCATTAAATTGTTTAAAACTATTATCATTATCATTCATATTTTTCTTCACATTAAAAGATTTATATTTTTCATTTTTTATAAAATATTTAAAATGATTTTCTAAATCTTCATTGCTAAAATCAAATATTAAATATGGCAAATGTTTTACAATTTTTACTTTTGTATAAACAATATCATCATACTTTATTAAAAATTTTGTTGAGGTTCTCTCGAATGTATCAGGTGGCTTCCATTTGTTACTTTTATTCATATTTTCTACATTTTCATTTAATGAACGAAGTAAAGTATATAAAAAGGACAAATAAACAATTAAGTTGTCTATATTAATGTTACAAAATTTTTCTTTTATTAAACTTAATAACAACCATTGATTAATAGATATATTCATTACTTTATCAAAAAAGAAACCCAATTTCATTATTATTTTACTATTTTTATGAATATAAAAATCAAAATGAATTATATCACACCCTATCAAATCTAACTGCTTTTCAATATCATCCTTTTCAATCCCACTTTTATTATACTCTAATGATTTTAATAATTTGTATATATTAATTAAATTATCAATTATATCATTATATTTATTTTCTGCAAATTTATTTACCTTTCTTATTTCCTGACTTATAATATCATTAAATAAAAATGGAGGTAACATTTTTATTCCTAAAAATAACATGAATGAAAAAAAAAAAAAATGTATAATATACTTAAATTTAATCATATATTTATAATTTAACCTTGCTTATCAACCTTTTTAGCAGCATTTTGTATTAAGTCTTTTTCTAACTTTAATAAAAAAAAAAATAAATAAAATAAAATAAAACATGTAAGACAACTCAAAGTAAAAGAATAAAAAGAAAAAAAAGAAGAAAAAGAAAAAATTTAAACCATTTCTTCTTTTCAAAATAAATGTTAAATAAAACCAATATATGTTTATACCTTTTTTTTATATTTTCTACTCATCTTTATAATGGTTCGTTTTATTTTTTTATATGACACATAATATTTTCTATAATGATTTGGAATATCATCCATTTTTTAATTTTTTCAAAAAATTTTTTTTTTAAATATTTATACGTATAGTTTTTTTATGTTTATTCTTTATTTTTTTTTTTTTTAAATATCTATTTATTTTAATCTATATTAAAATTATAGTAGAAAAAAGTTATTCGATTTTAATAAAGATTTTATGAAATTATCATTTATACTTTTATATTAATAATAATAAAAAAAAAATTTCTTAATGAAATTTTTTATTTTTAATATTTATATAAATACATTTTTCTAGCTCAAACTAAGATGTGTATATTAATCTTTTTTTTTTTAAAAGTTCCCAAAATAAATTCATTATACTAAAAATATTTAAATAATTTATCAAAAAAAAAAAAATTAGTGCGTTAAAAAAAAAGATTTAATATTATATTTTAAAGATATACTTAAATTAATTAGGTTTCTTCATTATAGTTTTTTAAATTTTGTTAATGAATTTTGTTCTAAATACAAAAGGAAACAGAAGTTTGTATTTTTTTTTTGTATTTTTATATACATTTTTAAAACTTTTAAATTAGTTTTAAAATATATTAAAATTTTGCTACTTAAATTTGTTTTTAATAAAAATGTAGAATAAAATATTTTCATTTTTTTTTTTTTTTTTTTTTACTTAAGTTTGCAATATTTAAAAATAAAATTTTTAAAATGACGAAATTTCTTTTATAGATTAAATATTATGAGAAAATACGTTGAAAAACTATTTATATTTCATAAAAAAATTTGTTTCTATTTATTTTAACATATATTTTTTTTTTTTTTTTTTTTTGTTTTGACTTAAAATTAAGTAGAATTTAATAAAGTAAAAACTATTATTTTTTATCTACATTTAAATGGCAAAATTAAATCGTAAATCAAAATAACCAGAAGAAAAAAAAGAAGAAAAATATAAAATTTTTAAAAGAAATTATGATATATTAAAAAAAAATTTTATTTTAAATAATGAGAATTAGGGTTTATTAATATTTAGAAAAATTTTTTAAAAGAGGTAACATAAAGATTTAATTTTATTTTATGAAGTATTATAATTCTTTTAATATCTATGAAATATTATAAAAAGAAAATATATAAGAAAAATAAAAATATAAAAAAATTAAAATAGAATAAAAAAAAAAAAATAAAATAAAATTAATACAAATGAAAGTCATACAAATAAATAAAAAGGTTCATTATTTTAAAATATTGATTGCCTAAATGTTCTATTATTGTTATAAGACTAATATAAATTAATCAACTTTTAAAATAACATTTTTTTCAATTTGGCTTTTATTTTTTTTTTCTTTTATATATATAATTAATTTAAAGCTACTAATAAAATGTATAATAAAATTAAAATTCTCAGTTTTTTTTGTTTGGCTGCTAGTGGAACATATTATATTTATAGATATAAAAAAAATGAACTGAAGCATCTATTACATTTTTTACTTTTTAAAAGAAAAAAAGAAGATAAGAAAAATAATATTGATAATATAAAAGAAGATAATTTAAATGAAAATATATCCACCATAAATGAAGAAAATAAATCAAATTCTACAGAAGCAAATATCTTGAATGAAAATGTATCAGTAATAACTAAAGAAGAGGAATCAGATTTTATTGAAATAAATAATTTAAATGAAAATGAAAAACTTCAAGACACAGAAGAAAATGATGTAAATACAAAGAAAATGAAACATTCATCAGATGATGAAAATATAATGACAGATGTAGAAGATATAAATAATATTAATGATAGAACAAATTACACAGTTGTTCAAATAAAAAAAAGAAATAATAAAAAAAATAACGCAAAAGAAATTTCAAAAGAAGAAGAAGAGGAAGAAATAAATGGAAAAAAAGAAATAAAGGATAATTATAATTATAAAGAAAATAATATAATAATACCAGAAAATTATAAAATATATTTTAAGTCATTTGGTTGCGCACATAATAGTTCAGATTCTGAATTTATGATGGGTTTATTAAGTAATTATGGATTTAAATTCGTTAAAAATATTGAAGATTGTGATATTTGTATTATTAATAGTTGTACTGTAAAAAACCCAAGTGAAGAAAGTATGAAAACAATAATTAATTATGTAAAAAAGTTAAACAATTCTATTAATAATAAAACGAAAAATTCAAAGAATTTAGAATATTTGTCTACTTCATCATCTGGATTTTCTGAATTTGAAGATAATGATTGTGAAAACAAAGGGACAAATTATTCTACTAATAATTCTTATGCATGTTCTGATAATAAGAAAGATTGTGCTTGTAATATAAAAAATTACAATGAAATAAATGATAAATCGGATATATTGGGAAAAAACACAAATAATGAAAAAAGTGATGAATTAATAGGTATCAAGAAAAAAAAGAAAATAATAAAAAGTAATAAAAAAAATATCAAAATTATTGTTTGTGGATGCGTTCCACAAGCAGAAAAAGATATGAAGATTTTTGAAAATATTTCTTTAGTTGGAGTAAATAATATTGATAAAATAGTAGATGTTGTGGAAAATGTTATAAATGGATATAATGTAAAATATTTAAGAACTAGTAAAAAAATGACTTCTCTAAATCTTCCGAAGATAAGAAAAAATAAATTTATTGAAATTATAAATATTAATAATGGATGTTTAGGAAATTGCACATATTGTAAAACAAAATTCGCGAGAGGTGACTTAATGAGTTATGAAATAAACGACATTATTGATAGAGTAAAATATGTTTCTAATGAAGAAAATATAAAAGAAATTTGGTTAACATCAGAAGACACCGGTGCATATGGTATCGATTTAAACACAGATATTGTAAAACTATTAAAACGGTTATTAGATAGTGTTCAAAATGGAGATGTTATGATAAGACTAGGAATGACTAATCCTCCATATATTTTAAAACACATTAAAGATATATGTAATTTATTGAAACATAAAAATATGTATGAATTTATTCACATACCAGTTCAAAGTGGTAGTAATAATGTCTTAAAAAATATGAACAGAGAATATAATATTGAAGATTTTATATTTTTAGTAGATAATTTAAGAAAATATGTTCCAAATATAACTATATCCACTGACATTATATGTGGATTTCCATATGAAACTGAAAAAGATCATAATGAAACAGTTAATTTAATTAAAAAATATAAATTTCCTATTTTAAATATTTCTCAATTTTACCCTAGAAGTGGCACTGTAGCATTTAATATGAAAAAAATTAATACCAAAATTGTTAAAAAGAGATCTAGAGAAGTCACCGATGCTTTTCTATCATATAATAGTAATTATAACTATTTAAAAGGAACAATTCAAAAAGTATTATTCACTGAATTGTCTACTAAAAGTGAACATATAATAGGTCATACAAAACAATATGTTAAAGTACTTTTACCAAATAAACGCAATGAAAATATTCATTTGTTAGGTCATTTTTCTTTATGCAAAATAACTTCAACTCATAAATGGCATGTTGTTGCTGAATTGCAATCTTAAAAATATATATATATCTATTTTTATTATTATTCCAAATCCTTTTTTTTTTTTTAAAATATATATATATATACATGTTACTCTTTTTTTTTTTTTTTTTTTTTTTTATATTCATTTTTTAAATATATATTCTATATTATTATTTTTCTTTTTTTTAACATTGTTTTTAAATATAANCATTTTTTTTTTTTTTTTTTTTTTTTTTTTATTGAAAAAATTCTTTCATATATTATTCTTTTATGATTATACAACATTACCTTTAATTTTTTTTTAATTTTACTTTTGTCCTTATAAAAATATTGTAAATATTATAATACTTTATGTATTCTCTTATTTTTTTTTTCTTAAGCATTTCTTGCTTTCAAATATATGGTGTTAATTTTTTTTTCTTTCATGAATAATAATTACTCTTTGTTCTAACTATTAATATATTTATTTCATTCTATATCATGCAATTTTAATTTGTATTTTTTTTTGTTTTAATAAATGATTTTATATTTTTTTATTGGAATTTCTTTTAAGTTTCTATTTGTTAAATAAAACTATTTTATTTAGTGTATAAAAATTGTATATTTAAAAAAGACAAATATTTGAACTTTTTATTATTGTATTTTTAAAAATTGAGCAAATGAAAAATAAAATAAAAAACTTTTATAGCTTTAATCTTTTAATTTTTTTTTCAAATTTATATAAATCTATATGTGAAAAAAAATATATATATACTTTTTTTTTTTTTTTTCTATCTTGTCAAATGTGTATGTATTGTAAAACATGAATAATAGAAAACAATAAAAGAATTAAAATATATAAATCAATATATAAATACATATAATTATTTAATATATATTAAAAGTTGATTGCATTCATCATAAATGGCTTACAATTTGTATCCTAAATTTTCTTTTTTCTGTAATTTGGTGCACATTTTTTGAAGTTAAAATGTTGAGGAAAATTATAAAGTACTCAAAGAATATTAATGCAAATTATTCATAATAAAATATTTTTTTCATATTATTTAAATTTTTTTATACATTCAAAAAAAAAAAAAAAAAAAAAAAGATATATTTTTTTTTAATTATTGTAAAATATATTAAGTATTCCCTTTTAATTTCCTCTTTTCCTTTTTTAAAATAATAGAAATATTACACACTACTTACATAGTGTTCAAATTTAGATATGTAAATGAAGAAAAATTAAAAAAAAATAATAATAAAAAAATACAACACAAAAAAATATATGTCAAGTGTAAGGAACTTAAATACACATTTATTTAACAATTTATTAAAAAATTAAATATTGTTTATTATAAACCTAAAGTTGTATTTTTTTTTTTTTTTTTTTTTAATTTTTAATTAAAAATGAAATTTTAATAGTAATTAATTTATATATACTTTATAATCATCTGTATTTTGTTTATTTTCCATTTCTCTACAATTTTTTGTTATACATTCATTATCATTAAATTATTAATCTAAATCAAATAATTTCATATATATTATTTTTTGTATTTATATTAGAATAAATTTTTTTTAGTTTAAAAAATAAATATTTATATAATAAATGTATATGTATTAATTTTTATTCCCATTCATTACTTTTTTTCATGAATTATTTATTAGAATAAATGTTTTTATTTTTTCATTAAATATTTATACTTTTTCTAATAATTCACTATTTAACAAGGTTTAATAATTTGTTTTACATTATTCTACTTAATATATAATTTAATAAAAAAAAAAAAATAATAAATAAAATAAAAAATGAAAGGATCTGATAAAATTGATTTTGAAAGTGTAAAGAGTTCATACCTAGAAAAAGATTTAAAGATAAAAAATAATACATATGTAAAAAATTTAAATATAAAAAATGATATAATTCTTGAAGTAATGAAAAATAAAATAGATGCAAATTGTTTAGACAATTGTTCATTTCAAAATTATTCAAATAAAAAAGACGAACAAAAATTCCATTACAATCAAAGTTTAATAGAAAAAAGTGATGAAAATCATATATTACAACAACTTGATAATAAGGAACAATATAATCATTTAGAAGAAATAAATGATAAAGAAAATGAAGAACGTTTAAAAACTGAAAAAGTTGAAGGAGATTCAAAAAAGGAAGATATTGAAGAAAATGAAGGATATCAAGAAAATATTGTATCAAAGGAAAATGAGAATTTTACAGAAGTAAGTCTTATAAATAAAATATCTAAATTTGTAAATAAAACGAAAGATGCTTATAGTTCATTGAAGGTAGATAAGTTATTTTTATGCCACAATATAAATGATTTAATTAATGATAGGTACAGTGATATTAATATTGAATATTCAAGCGATAAAAAAAAAAAATTTATTTATGAAAACAAAAATGAAGAAAATGTAACAAAAAATGCAAACAAAAATTTCAATTTGGTGAAAAATATAGAAGATAAAATAAAAAATAATAAATCAACCGTTTTAAAGAATATTTATAATTCTTTTAAAGGAACCTTAAATGATTTTATAGATGTATATTTAGAAAAAGATAATGATGATAATGAATCATTATATGATAAAATATATGATACTAATAAAATGGTTCATAAAACAACAAGAAAAAATATAAGTAAAAACTGTGAATTAATATTAAATAATCAAGCAAATAAAATTAAAAGCAGAAAATCAATAAGCGACACAAGTACAATAACAAAAAAAAATGTAAAGAGTGACATCATTCAAGAAAGTAACCAAATTAATAAGACATATATCTATGATGAAAGAAAAAATAATAAAAACTTTAGTGTCAAAAATAATATGAAAGAAAAATTCATTGGTAAAAGTGAAAAAAATTCAAACAATGATAATAATATTTATGAAATGAATTCAATATATAATAATAAAACATTTGAAGTCAAAAAAAATAATACAATTCATAAAATCAATAACGATGAATTAATTAATGAAAAAGATATAAATTACAAAAAACAGTTATCAAAGGAAATGAACAAAAATATTAATTATCATAATATATATGAATCAGACATAAATAAATTTGAATATTCAGACATAATATCACACTATTTATATAATAATGAAGATGTTAAAAATAAATGTTCTACTAAAAATAAATATGACATTAAAAATGGATATGATTTAAACAAAAAAAGTGTCACTAATAATATTGACTATATACAACAAAAAAAGAAAAGCAAAATTATTGACGTTCAAACTATTGATAAAAATGTTTTTAATATATCTTCTCTTACGCAAAAATATAAATATAGATCTAATATAATATTAACTATAAATAAAATTAAAAATATTGAAAAAGTAATTGAAATTAATATAAATATCACAGATATACAATTGAAAATACCTGGAATGAGAATTGAAAACGTAATATTGCCTTACAAATATTCTAATGATTTATTAACAATACAGATAAAAACATTAAATGAAGATCATGAGCAAATAGATGAAATAGAGAGGGAAAAAAATGATAAAAGCAAAAATAACTTATCTGAAGAATACGATGAAAATATGATAAAACATCAATTAAAAGAAGAAATATCTTCTACAATAAAGTATTATTATTTATTTATACCATTGAATAATATAAAGGAAGAAATAATAAATAAACAATTAATTCTAATAACTTCAAAATATAAAAAAATATTTGAAAAAGAAAAATTATTACCAGATACAATATATTTAATACAATCAAAAAATATGGATTCAATGAAAGAGAAACATTTGTATATTTCTATTAAAAAATGTGTTAATGGAATTCATTTTTATCCTAATCTAAGTGAAAATAACTTCAATAATTTAAATAAAAACAATCTTTTGGATACAAAAGAAAGTGATCATATATTTAAACCAGTTTATGTTAGTTTATACAATGATGAAGTAGATAGAGAAATAGGAAATATAATAAATGAAAACAATTTAATTAATAAAATAAAAATAAATAAACTTCCCGAAAAGGGGTATTATATTATAAATAATAATTATCTCCATTTTTATTTTAACAAAGAAAATGTTTTAGTTTGTAATAATAATATAAATAATAAAATTGACAAAAATCAAAGTAACATTGAAAATGCTAGTAATTTCTTTAATTTAATGTCTAATGATTTTATAAGCGTAAAAAGTTGTATAGATTTATTTCCATTTTATATTTTTCCGTCACTTGAAGATGTTGATTATTTTGATTTCATGGAGAAAAATCAATGCATAAAATTAAAATTTATGTTACATTTTCTAGCCATATTGGAACTTATATGTACAAATTTATGCTCATTTATGAATATAAGCATCAAGACCCATTCACTGTTTTATAATCACATTAAAGCAGTTCAGATAGATGATGAAAATAATGAAAGAAAATATTTTACCTTTTTATACACATCACATGATGAAAAAAGTAAAACAACCAACTATTCCTTTAATTATGTTAAACCATTTATTTTTGAGTTTAAGAATGAACAAAATGTAAATGAAAATGAGGAGAAAGATATCTCATTAGATGAATTAAATAATAACGATATATTTATATATAATTATGCAAGAAAACAATCGTTATTTTTGTATAATATAATTAAAAATTATGAAGATATAAAAAATATAATAAAGTGTTACGATGAAAAAAAACATATTTTCTATACAACTGATTATAATAAAAAGCATTTTCAAGATTATTATATTAATATTTTATACAAATATAATAAATTAATTGGAGAAGGAATATACAATAAAGAAAATGAATATAAGTGTAAGGATGGAATAAAAGAAACCAAAATAACAGAAAAAGAAAGAATAAAAAATAATTTAAGACAAAAAATTTTAGAAAAAAATAGTTACAACAATATATATCAAAATAACTATAAAAAATTACCAGAAAATATATACATTTCAGACAATTTTTTAACTAGTAACAATAAAAACATTTTATTAAAACGTGAAACTAAAATAAGCAATGAAAAAATAGATTATATAAATAACAACGAATTTAATTATCGTAATAATGTTGATAAAAAATATTTTATAAATGAAATGGAGCTTAAAAACAATAACTTATTTAATGAGAAGGGTAAAATAGAAGAATATAACAATTCTGCTTTACAATTTAAAATAACAAATAATAACAAAAATAACAAAATTAGGAATATGCAAAATATAAATAGTAAAACATATAATAATCATGAAAGTAATGAATTTGTTGATTTTAAAGAATATAATAATTATCATTTATGTGGTAATAATAGTAATAATATGAAAGAAGAAAAAAATAACACAGTTATAAACATACAACAAAATAAGAATGATAAAAAAGATTTAAATTATATTAACAATAGAAGTAATGAAAAAAAAAATAATACATTAAATATGGATATATGTAAAATTAAAAATCAAAATACTTATTTAGATCAATTTAACACAAGTAAGAATGAAGAAAAAAATAAATTAGAGCAAAAAAATTATTCTAATGATATATTAGATGTTTTATATGAACAAAAAAAAGAACAATATATGTATAAAAATGATATTTCTAGTAAGGAATGCATTAGACAGAAGATAAATAATAATTTAGATTTTACTTCAGAAAAATTATTATTAGAATCATATGATTATTTTAATGGAAATGATAATAAAAAATTTGTAAATGAAAATAAAATAGATGAATATGAAAGTATTCAAAGCAATGTTATGAACTTCAGTGAAAATGGTATAATTCTAGATAGTTTTACTAATGAAGATGAAAATAATTCTATTGATATGATTAATAATAGTATAATAAATAGTAATATGTATGTAGAAAAAAATACATATCATAATGAAAATGATGAAAAGAAAGTTAAAATACTAAATTTTGAAAATTTAAAAATACATAATGATAACATTAATGGTATTAAAAAAAAATGCAAATTAATTCAAAGGAACGCAAATTGTTTTTAACAAAATCATTATTTTAAATAAAAAATTAAAATATGATATTATTTTTGTTTATAAAAAGAAATTCAATTGTTATGTTGATTATGTATATCAAATATAGGATTCTTTTTAACTTAATTAAATGATATGTTATAAAATGAAAAAAATAAAAAAAAATAAAAAAAATAAAATATAAACTAAACCTTAACTACTAAATATATATATATATATATATATATATATATATATATATATATATATATAATAAAATATATTGTAAATTATATTCTTAATTAAATAATAAAATATAATAATATTTCATACAGTGCTGATAGAAATAAAACAAATTTTTTATCATTATGGATAAAAATATAAATAATTATGTAATAATTATATAATTTTAATTTATAGAAAATGTGCTTAATTAAAATTTTTCTTTCTCTTTTATTATATTTATTATACTTTTTGTGTTTAATTATAACACTTTGTTATTATATATTTACTTATTTTAAAATATTTTTATTTTCTTTTTATTTTATCCGTTTTTTCTTATTTTGATGTATAAAATTAAATATAAAAAAATAAAAATGATGAATATAATATGAAAATTTCTATCTTTTATTTTTACTATACACATTATAGCCTAATTATTTTGCTTCTTTTTATCATATTTTTTTAGATTTAAATAAGTGTAAATATAAAGATAAAAGAAAATCATGTGAATTAAAATAAAAAAAATTAATAACTTTATCAATTTTTTTTTAAACTTTTTTGTTACTAAATTTCTATAAAAATTTATTTTTTGAAAAATATTAAGGATTTTTTTATTTTTATCTTGTCTATTTTTTTCATTCAAGTTATTTTCATTTAATGTTACTCTTCCTATATTTCCTTTTATGTTGCTTCTACGAAAGAAATATGTTTATAATTATAGCAAGTATATTTATTTTAAGAAATACATTTTTTTAACTTAAAAAAAAAAAAAAACAATATTTTTACTTTGTTTTTTTTTCACCTTTTCATTAAATTTACATATAATGTGAAATCCGGATTAATAAGAAAAAAAATTTTAGAAAAATAAATAAAATATATAAGATTTTCTGAATCAAAAAATATATCATAATTGTCACATTCTAAATTCACAAAACATTTATCATGCAATGAGCTTGCTATAAAATATAAAAAATTGTCTCTATTGTGTTTCTTAAATTTGTTATTTTTATATATATATTTTTTCTAATTTATTTATTGCATTTCTTTATTTTTTTTTTATTTTACTATTTAGTAAGTTATATCCTTTTTTTAATTTTTTTTTTGAACTACAACCATATTCACAGAAATTAAAATTTTCATCACAAAAATATCTCCATGAACATGAAATATTTTCTAATTCATTATCATAATTATCCTCAAAAGAATCTATATAAATCATTTGATAGCATAAAGAAGCTATAAATAAATGGCTAATATTTAGATAAAAAAACAAAAACATTGTTCATGTTCTTATTAACATGTGAAATATTTGGATAAAAATTAATTTAAAAAAAAAAAAAAAAAATACATATATTTCACTGTAAAAAGGACTATTTAAATAAATATATTATTAAGTATAAAAATAAAAAATTTTCTATAATAATATTTAGACAAAATACGTATGATTTATTATAAAAATACCATCAAAAAAATTACAGATTTTAGTCTTATAAAAGTTTTTAACACCATTATTTTTCTTATTCCTCTTTCATTTTATTTTAATTTATTAAATTATATCTATTGCTATTTTATTTATTTTTTTCACGTTATATACCTAATTATAAATTTTTGCTTCTATTAATGAGTTTTTAATTTTTTATTAAATGCACTAAAAAATTTTTTTTTTTTAATAAAGCTATATATATAATTAAAAATTTTGAATATTAATAATAAGAAAAAATTCTTATTGCGGTAATTCACTATTTATATAAATTTATATTCACGTTAATGTGTATTTTTTATTTTTTTTTTAATTAATGAAATAAATGAAAAATAAAAAGAAAAAGAAATATATATAAAAAAAAATAAGTATTATCAAAAGATTGATAAGCTTAATAATAAAAAAATCCTTCCCTTAACTTTTTGATTTATGTTTTTAAGTTTATATATATATATATATATATATTTTTTTTTTTTTTTTTTTGTACTTTTTGTTATATATAAAAAAAAAAATATAATAAAATATTAAGTATATTTATATTATACAAAAATTATAAATTTTATTTTTTATTTTTTATTTTTTTTATTACTAAAATATGGAAGACTTTAAAAATGATATAAAAAGAGAACATGAAGATATAACAAATGAAATAATAATAAATGATGAAGAAAAAAATAATGAAGGAAAGTTAGAATATATAAAAGCTGAAGAAAAAAACCTTGAAATTGTAAAAAATGAAGAAATGAATGAAAAAATAAGCTTTGATGTATTTTCATATTTAAATAAAATATATAAAAAATATGGCTTATATGAAGAAGAAATATCTAGATTTTTATTATATGTGAAAAAAAGAAGAGGAAAATTAAAAAATAAAGTTTTATATAAGGTTAAAAAGATAGGTAAGTATGTTACTAAAATTTATCATACAGAAGCAGTGGATGAAAAATATTTAGAATTATTAATTTTAGATGTAGAATTATGTAGATGTAGATATATTCAAATTAAAACTGACATGAATAATTTGAAAATTCCTTATAGATCTAAATTTTCCTACTTAAGGCGTTTAAAAAGATCATTAGAGAAAATGAATTTTCTAAGTAACATTATAAATAATTATATTGATAAAAATACAGAATTACAAGTAAAGTGCTATAACACGTATATTGAAGCATCATATCTTCTAGAAAGAAAAAAATATGAAAAGTGCTTGGCGAAAATAGATGAATTTACTAAACTTATAAAACTTTTAAAAAGGATTACTATCAATTCTATTTTAGATAACCAAAAAAATGAAAATACTACGAAGGATGAAGATGAAAAATATATAAGTAATGAAAATAATAATATAGAAAAGTCATTAGTAAAAAAGAGTGATACAGTGGTAGATGATGAAAAAAGAATCGATGAAATGTATGACTATTTTTTATCGGTTATAAATTCATATGAACGTATTTGTGTTTATAATATTAAAAAGGCTAACATAGGTAATTCAAATGATAAATTGGAGGAAGATGATTTTACGGATGATATTAATACTATATCAGAACATAATAATGGTACAATTTATAAAAAATTAGATATACAACTATTAGATAATATAACAATAATTAATGTAAAAAATATTCAATTTCAATTACAAGAGCATAATAATAATATAATAAAAATAAAAAGCATTATTGATGATATAAAAACTGTTATAGAAGATGAAATTATTACAGCTTTAAATGTAGATCATAATTTAAAAGATATTTCTAAAAATGCAAAATCTATTTTTAATTTCTTAAATGATTATGATATAAACTTCATTATAAATAATTATGGAAATATATTCTCTAAGTATTTTGATTGCTTATCGATAGTTCATGATGAATTAATTAAATCAACTAATGAAAATAATAAATTATCAAATAAAGATAAGCTAATGGATAAAATATGGAATACTTTAGAAAATTATTTTCTCTCTGAAAAACTTTATATAGATATAGAAAGAACGCTATTAGTATTAATGAAAAATTTATTTCATATTTATAACCATGATGATTCAAAGAACTTTACTTTTCGCAATAAAAAAACATTTGGTGAAATTATAGACTCCATGCCGTTATTACATGAAGGAATAAGATATGCAGATATACTTAAACAAAATACTGATGAATTGAAAAACATAGAAAATAATGATATTTTTATTAATATTTTACAAATAATAAAAAATGTTAAGTCTTTATGTTTAGCATTTTATTATGCATTAACAAATAAAAATGCTGAAGCTCATGTTTTATTTGATTTAATAAAAACAAGAAATTATATATATATAAAAATTAATAATATAGAAATACCTAATAAATCATTATTGCGTGTAGCGATATTATTTAATAGACTACAAGATCTCGTTTCTTTAATGAATGAAAAATATTATTTCAGACATTTATCTATTTATGCTTTACAAGTAAAAAACAAATCAATAATAAACAAAAACTTATTTTATGTAGATAATTCTTTATTTCAGCCTAAAATGAAGGAAATTTCTTTAAGCCCACTACAGATTGATATGATAGATATGTGCCGTGATTCACCATTAATAAATCAAGTAAATCAAAAACCATCAGGATTTAGAGGTTTATTTAGATCATTTTGGAAAAAATAAACAAAAAAAAAAAAAAAAAAAAAAAAAGGAAAATAAAAATATATTTTTATTTAATATATTATATTACTTGAGGACATTATTTTTTGAATTACATGTGTATTATATTTGTTCTACTTTTTTTTTTTTTTTTTCTACCCCTTTTTTATTGTGAACTTTTTTAAAAGATGAAACATAAAAAAAAAAAAAATAATAAAAATAAAAAAAATATTTCATTTTTATTGATAATTTAAAATTTTATTTTTAAAAATGTTTAAAATGGTTCTTTTAATTATAAAGATAAATAGTCATTTTCACTTAAATTTCATATTATTTCACATTTTTTCTTTTTTTTTTTTTTTTAAAAAAAGTAACAAGTCTATTAAGTAAAAATTTTTATATTTAAAAAAAAAAATTAAAATAGAAATGTAAAAAAACGATCATGTTAAAATTATTTCTTTAACCACTCAATTCCATTATTGATTGAACTAAATCATTATTATTTTTTCTCAAAGCTTTAATTGCCATATCTCTGCTACATTTTGTTTGTGACATAATTAACTCCACATCATCCATTGAAACATCATCTACTTTTTCTATAAAATAAAAAAAAAGGTATGTAGGTATTTAATAAAATGTTATTTTAAATATTTTTATTTTTGGAAAAAAAAAAAAAAAAAAAAAAAAAAAAATTAAATAACAATAAATGAACATATATATATATATATATATATATATATATATATATACCTTCATCTAAGTCTTGGACTTTTTCTTCTGTTTTTTCGGCTGATTCAAAATTTGTTTCTGTTTCAATAGGAACCTCTGGATCTTTTGATAAATTATCTGGCATAAAGTCTAAAAAAAATATGAAAAAAATATAAGATTTTTTATTAATACATATACCAAGATAAATATTAAAATGAAAATTAATGAATGAATATTATTAAAAAAAAAAAAAAAAAAAAAAAAAAAATCATTTAATATAAAAAATTACTATTAATTGAATTTGTTAAATCATCAGTTTTTGCATCTCCAAATATTACATAAGAGTCAGTTCCTTCAATTTTATAAACTTCAACATTAGAAACACCAAAAACCATTTTTTGAGATTTTTTTATGATTACTTTATGAACATTTGGTACTGCTTTTAAGCCAAGTTTTACAAGCATTTTCCTTGCTCTTCTTTCTCCCTTACTCATTTTTGTTCTATTGGGTGGATTTAATATATTTTTATTTTCATCATTCTCTTCACAGGAAGAACTGGAAGAAATATCTTCTTTTGAATTTATTTTATCTTGCATCTTTTTTTTTTTAAATATATGAATGAAAAAATGAATATAGAAGGATAAAGAATTAAAAAGCAGAAAAAAGAAATATTTTTTTTAAAATAATTTTAAAAAAAAAATATCTTCTCAAGAATATAATATAAAAATATAATTTTAAATAATATACTTAATAAAAATTTTATAGTTTTAATGTTCAAATATACATTTATTATTTATTTTTTTCTTTCTTTTTTTTTTTTTTTTTTTTTTTTTTTTTTTTTTTTTTTTTTTGTTATTAAAATATAAAAAATTTGAATAAAAAATAGTTTTATTTAATACTTTGTAATTTACATATTTATTATAATTAAAATAAAAATCAAAAATAAATGCACGGACACATATAATACTATGTTTATTCAATCTACATATACATAAATTATATTGACGTTTATTTTAAAAAAAAAAAAATTTCACATTAAAAGCTCTTTACTGAAAATAAAATAGTATATTTATAGAATTAAGACGTTCATTAAAGAAACCGTTTAGAAGAAAAAAAAAGTGAAAATTTTTGTTTATAACTGTTAAGAACTATTTTATTTTATTTGTATTAATTGTATTTTTAAATGATAATGCATATTTGCTTTGATAGATGTATAAATGTATGATTTATTCTTTACTAAAAATAAATATTATTAAGTTATTAAATATCAATATAAAATATGGTATTATACTTCCTTTTTTTATTTATATATATATATATATATGAACCTTATTTTATTTTTAACTAATCTATCTTATTCCTTTGTATTGGAAATATAAATATTATGAAATACATCTACATTTTACTTGAAAAAAAAAAAAAAGTGAAATAATTTATTTTTATCATAATTTTTTTAATATATATACACAAATATTAAATAAAGTATTTTTTTGAAAAAATAAAATAAAAAAAAAAAGGAGATACTAGATTATCCAGAAACATTTTTCTTTTTTATAATTTTTACTTCATTTTTTGTAAATAATTTTTTTTGTCAATATTATTTTAAGTAATTTTATATTAATAAAGAAATAATCTATTGGGAACTTTTCAGATTTTCATTAATGTTTTTTTTTTTTTTTTTTTTTTTTTTTAATTTTTTTTTT